GCGGTACCAGGAGGCTGAGCAGGCTGAGGGAGGTGCAAGGCCATTTCCCCCAGTGAAACTTTCCTCCCTCCCTGCGCGGGGGCTCTGGTGGTGCTGAGGGGCTGATGAGCCTGCACTGGAGGGGTCAGGTCTTTTCAGGGGTGGTGGGGAGGGAGCAGTGCCTTTTTGAGGGGGGCTCTTCCCTGCCTGATGCCTCTTCCGCTCTCCAGCCTGGAGCCAGCAAGAAGGAGCCCGTTTCCTCGCTGGAGCAGGTTCTCAAGGAGGTGAGGAGGAGGAGTAGGGTGCTGGGTCTGCTCAGGTGCAAGAGGGGCTCAGTGCAACACTGGCACCACTGAGCCCTCTGCCTGCTGCGTCCCCGTCGCCCACCTCCCGCCCCCTCGCCCTGAAAGCCTGTTTCTCCCTAGACCTCCCGAGAGATGGTTGCTCGCTCTGCTGCCACACTCATCACTCACCCCTTTCACGGTAAGTGCCCCTTCTGTAGCTGGTGCCTGGGCCTGATGACCTGAGTGACGGGCGCCTGTCACTCCCGTGTCACCGTGGGGTGTCTGTGCGCCCCCCTGACCACCACGCTGCCCGTCTCTGCCTGCAGTGATCACTCTGCGCTGCATGGTGCAATTCATCGGCCGGGAGACCAAGTACAGGTACAGGGCAAGGTGGAGGGGCTGGGGGCTGCCATGGCAGGGGCTGCCCGCCCACAGGGCCCCCTCTGACCGTGGTGCTCTCCTTTTCCTCCCTGGCCCAGTGGGACACTAAGCGCCTTCACCACGATTTACCGAGAAGAGGGCATCCTGGGCTTCTTCGCGTGAGTGCTGACAACAAGAGCCTTGGAGGGCAGGAGGGTCCCTCCCCGAAATCTAGAGGCCTTGCTTGCCACTTGGGTGTTACTTCTTCTTCCAGCTGCAGTGCTGCAGCTCTACTCTTCCCATCTCGCCGGGCTTGATAAGCGCTCTGTCCTGGCCTTGGATGCTGCCAGGGCGCGTGGTTTCCCGTTCTGCCCTTGCTGGAGGGCTTCCTGGCAGGGATCTGCCAAGCCCCTGCCTTGTAGCTACTGGCAGTGACATCTGGCATCTGGGGACCTTAAAACAGAGTGAAGGTGTATTAAACCTCCCCTGGGAGCACCGGACTCCTACCTTTGGTGGCTGGGGGATGGTTTGAGCCCCTGCGGCAGCTCCCCTCTGTGCCCGTGTCCTTTTGGAACTGATTGTCTGAGCATCCCTGTTCCGGGACAGAGTGTTCCCCCTTCACCTGGCTGTTGCGGGATCAGCTTCTCCCTCCCATTCCCACCGGCTGTTCCCCAGCTCCCTGTGCAGCCAGATCTGGCTCTGCCCTAAGTTCATGTTCCCACTGCCTCTTCTCTTTCAGTGGCCTCATCCCCCGGCTCCTCGGGGACATCCTTTCGCTCTGGCTCTGCAACATGCTGGCCTACCTCATCAACACGTATGCACTGGAGAACGGGGTACGGTCTCCGCGCACTGCTCGGGGAGGAAGGGTGTGGGGGGGCAGTATGGCGGCAGCGCTGGTGCTGAGTTGACAGTGGTGGGGGCCAGGGGAGGCTCGGGACAGTCCAAGGCAGGGCCCCACTTTGGGGTGGCAGCATGGCTCCATGGGGGCTGAAGGCACCTTTTCTCCTCCCGCAGGTCTCCACCATGGCTGAGATGAAGAGTTACTCACAGGCAGTCACTGGCGTGAGTACAGCTCCCTCCCAGGGGGTCCCTGAGGACCCTATCCTCTGGGGTTTGTTCTTCCCACGCGGAGGGGAGTGTGTGTGCGTGGGATCCCTGCAGCGTCAGTGGGCCGCTGCCCACCAGCCCCACTCTCCCTTGCAGTTCTTCGCCAGCATGCTGACCTACCCCTTCGTGCTGGTCTCCAACCTGATGGCCGTTAATAACTGTGGGTGAGTCTGCCACCGCCTCCTACCCCACCGTGAGGGTGAGCCCCTGCCTGGAGGGGCTGGCGTGGGTGATGGCCACCTCCCTCCACGCTGGATCAGCTCTGGAAACTCCTTTTCCAAGGCTCCCGGATGGCAAAGAAGTTTCAAACTTGCTATGGGGTTAATCCCTCGTCAGTAGTGCTGCGGCGTTGGGGCATCTATGGGGCAGGAGCCAAGCCTTGAAAGGGCTGTTTTGGGGTTCAGCCCAGCGTGGAGCTGCAGTGGGGAGGGGGGGCAGATCCTGCCCCACTGGCTTGGCCCTGAGTGGAAATAACTCCCTGAGGGTTTCCCCTTCCTTCCTCAGGCTGGCTGGGGGTCTCCTCCCCTATGCACCTACCTACTCCTCTTGGCTGGACTGCTGGAGCCAGCTGCGCAGGGAGGTAAGCGGGCAGCACTGGGATGCTGCCTGGCTGTGGAGAAGAGCCAGGTGGGAGTCCTGCGGGCTCTGGAGGGACTGTGCTGGGGCTCGGGGCAGCCCTAACTCACCCAGTGGTGGTCATCTCCCCCTTCCAGGGCAACATGAGCCGAGGGAACAGCCTGTTTTTCCGGAAGGTACCCACAGGGAAGCGGTATGTGTGGGAGGAGAGGAGGTTTCGTTGAAGCTGGAGCTGAGAGCGGAATTGTGAAGCTGGTGCCGGGCTCTGGAGGCAAAGAATTATGGAAGAGTGGTGATTTCTATACGTTTTTTTAAAAATCATTTAATGCTGAGAGATAAAGGTGGATGTTGTGAGAGTCTGTCATGGGGCTAGGGGCTTTTTGGGGGGATGGCAAGCTGGCCATTCTCCACCAGTCCCTCCCATTTTTGTCGGCCCGGCACCCACACAGGCCCTCCGTGGGCACCATCGGCTGGACTGGGTGCTGGATTGGTCCCATAAGACATTGTCATGTCCGTCCTGTCCCCGTGGGGACTGACACCCACATCTTGTCTTGTCTTTAGCCTGAAAGTCTTGGTGTTGCTGAGGCGGCCTGGTAAATCTGTAGCAGAAATCCTGCTCCCGCTTCCCACGGTTACGCCCTGGGAGCCGCTTCCCGACCTTGGACCCAATTAAGGCTGTTTTTGATGGAGGAAACCTCCCGCTGGATAACGAACCCCAGAACCATCACCCCCTTACAAATAACCACTTGTTTTAAAGAGTGGCTGGATGAGTGTCGCAGGTGCTTGGGGAGCAACAGCCCCAACTACCCCAGGGGCTCCTCCCAGCCCCAGCGGGGTTGGAGACCGCTCATTAATGGATGGGGATAATTGTGGGGCAGAGCCCTGGGAGGAGAGTTCTCTGCGCTGTGCCTCGGTTTCCTGTCCCTTGGGGCCGTAACGGCAGGGGCAGAGATGGGATCAATCGCACAGTTGGTGTTCCTGGGTGCAGCACCCACGGAGGTGTCACATCACCCCCAGGCCCAGGCAAGAGGGAAAACATGGCTGGTGACAGGGACGGGGGGAAAGGATGGCACATCTGGGCTGTGAAAGAGGGTGGTGGTGGGACCCCCTCAGAGGGTTGTACACCTGGTGGAGGGGGTCACACAGCTGGATCGAG